ACTAACAGGCCAGCAAGGCTTCACTATGTGTCTGAACACTAACTGGCCAGCAAGGCTTCACTATGTGTCTGAGAACTAACAGGCCAGCAAGGCTAAACTATGTGTCTGAATACTAACAGGCCAGCAAGGCTTCACTATGTGTCTGAACACTAACAGGCCAGCAAGGCTTCACTATGTGTCTGAACACTAACAGGCCAGCAAGGCTTCACTATGTGTCTGAACACTAACAGGCCAGCAAGGCTTCACTATGTGTCTGAACACTAACAGGCCAGCAAGGCTTCACTATGTGTCTGAATGTAACACACACTTCCTCCTCTGTCTAAGTTCATACCAATTAATATTTTTGTGATAGAACGTTTTTTAAATTCCAACTGACACTCACAATCCTTACATTATTGTGTTAGTGTACTGATCAAATCATCACAGAAAAACATTAACAAATGTAATAAAAATTACACTTACAAAAAATACTTTTAACATGTATGTCTCTCTGGTCCCAAGAAAGCTTCATACCAAATCTGGTTGGGACCAGTATAACTATCGGGATGGGATCTCAATTAATTTTTATGTAATGACCTAGAAATAGGACCCTATTGATGGGGCCAGAGTTAGGGGTAGATGCTGATATAAAGCTTTTTTTTTTATATATGCCCAGGAAACATGTATTGCTATGCCACGGGAATGTCAACCGATTCCCAACCTATAACTGAACAATGTGAAGTTTTTTAACATATCTTTTACCCCTGTGACCTTGAAGGATGGTTAAGGTCATTGGTATGATGACAATATGCATTGCTCCATCCTAGGCCTTACAGAGCTAAGTAAAATGTGTTTGACCTATTACAGCTTATGTTAAAGCCCATGTTACCATAAAAAAGCTTGGACTCCAACCAGCTCTCAAAGTTCACCTTCGACCTAAACACAAAATACTAGAAAAAGATTTACACTATTGGTCTCCATAATTAATCATGACTCTAGACCTTATTGTTCTTCACAAAATGTTATTGACGTTTTTAATGCATTTAATCTTTGTGACCTTTAAAAGTAAGTCAATGTCATTAATATGAGGTAACTCTATAGTGCCCTATCCAAAGACACCTACTTGTTAAACACAATATCAGGATACCAGGCCTTCTGGAAGTTATAAAGAATGTCTTAAAGCTTTTAACCCATTACAGTCCATAATAACCTTTGACTCTAGCCAGCTTTCAAAGTCGACCTCTGTCATAAATCAGATATTGTTAGAAAAGATTCACATTGCTAGTCTTCATAATGTTTTAATGGCTCTGGACCCACTTTCTCTTCAGAGAATGTTCCTTGAAATTTTGAATTTATGTAATCCCTGTGATCATGAAAGGAGATCAAAAAAGCTCATATGAGGAAATTTTATAACACTCCATCCCAAGTATGTACCTATTAGTAAGCTTTATGGAACCTTGGACACTCATTTCTTCAAAAAGAATTTGTCCAAATAAAAAAACGTTGAAAATTGGACGACAGACAGATGGATGACAGATGCTGCATCATACCCTTAATTACACCACTGACAAGTGATTAATATGCATATTTCACAGAAAAAAGAAGGAAGGGATACTTATTAGGGGAAGGGTACTTATTGCATCTGGTAGGGCTTTCATAAAACTGGTACTTACACCAATATGAGAGTAAGGAATCCTACAGACAGAGCTCCTGTTACGGCCATGAACCCAGCAGCTCGCCCGTACGCATTTTCTTCACCTCTTCTACTGGAGGAAAATGTCACCGGTCTGTAGTGAGCCTCTGGAGAGTTCTGTCGTCTGAAGTTATCACAACATATTCTTTACTCCTTTTTTATTCATAAAATTCATCATAATTTGCTATTTTCAGGAAATGCAATCAAAATATATTTCATTAATCACACAGATATAATTCTCATCCTAGTACCAAAATACTAGTCAAAGAAAACTGGCCACAGTACATGTACAAGTATTGTATCTGCTAGTACTAGAGAATAGATCACAGTACATGTATTGTATCTGCTAGTACTAGAGAATAGATCACAGTACATGTATTGTATCTGCTAGTACTAGAGAATAGATCACAGTACATGTATTTTATCTGCTAGTACTAGAGAATAGATCACAGTACATGTATTTTATCTGCTAGTACTAGAGAATAGATCACAGTACATGTATTTTATCTGCTAGTACTAGAGAATAGATCACAGTACATGTATTTTATCTGCTAGTACTAGAGAATAGATCACAGTACATGTATTTTATCTGCTAGTACTAGAGAATAGATCACAGTACATGTATTTTATCTGCTAGTACTAGAGAATAGATCACAGTACATGTATTTTATCTGCTAGTACTAGAGAATAGATCACAGTACATGTATTTTATCTGCTAGTACTAGAGAATAGATCACAGTACATGTATTTTATCTGCTAGTACTAGAGAATAGATCACAGTACATGTATTTTATCTGCTAGTACTAGAGAATAGATCACAGTACATGTATTTTATCTGCTAGTACTAGAGAATAGATCACAGTACATGTATTTTATCTGCTAGTACTAGAGAATAGATCACAGTACATGTATTTTATCTGCTAGTACTAGAGAATAGATCACAGTACATGTATTTTATCTGCTAGTACTAGAGAATAGATCACAGTACATGTATTTTATCTGCTAGTACTAGAGAATAGATCACAGTACATGTATTTTATCTGCTAGTACTAGAGAATAGATCACAGTACATGTATTTTATCTGCTAGTACTAGAGAATAGATCACAGTACATGTATTTTATCTGCTAGTACTAGAGAATAGATCACAGTACATGTATTTTATCTGCTAGTACTAGAGAATAGATCACAGTACATGTATTTTATCTGCTAGTACTAGAGAATAGATCACAGTACATGTATTTTATCTGCTAGTACTAGAGAATAGATCACAGTACATGTATTTTATCTGCTAGTACTAGAGAATAGATCACAGTACATGTATTTTATCTGCTAGTACTAGAGAATAGATCACAGTACATGTATTTTATCTGCTAGTACTAGAGAATAGATCACAGTACATGTATTTTATCTGCTAGTACTAGAGAATAGATCACAGTACATGTATTTTATCTGCTAGTACTAGAGAATAGATCACAGTACATGTATTTTATCTGCTAGTACTAGAGAATAGATCACAGTACATGTATTTTATCTGCTAGTACTAGAGAATAGATCACAGTACATGTATTTTATCTGCTAGTACTAGAGAATAGATCACAGTACATGTATTTTATCTGCTAGTACTAGAGAATAGATCACAGTACATGTATTTTATCTGCTAGTACTAGAGAATAGATCACAGTACATGTATTTTATCTGCTAGTACTAGAGAATAGATCACAGTACATGTATTTTATCTGCTAGTACTAGAGAATAGATCACAGTACATGTATTTTATCTGCTAGTACTAGAGAATAGATCACAGTACATGTATTTTATCTGCTAGTACTAGAGAATAGATCACAGTACATGTATTTTATCTGCTAGTAACTAGAGAATAGATCACAGAACATTAATTATTACTTCAAATGTCTGTGTAACCAAAATGTGATACTTGTGGGAAAGTAGCTCAAGAAATTGGCATGCGATGTAAAGAGGTACTTTTGTGTATGCAATTTTCACAACCTGATACTTTTATGTCAATTAAACTGTATATCAGCTGTATTGGGAGCTGATTATGGTTATTGTGTGGACATTTTAAGCTTAGAAATAAGAACAAAAACAGAAATTCTTAATTTATGTGCCATGCAATGCTAATTATTTGGATATCATTTCCTGAAGCATTTTTTCCCAAAACTCTAAATGCAAGTTTGGAGAAAAATTCAATGAGAACCTGCTATATGACTCTATGACCACCAGGTAGAAATACAGTGGTTAATGCACCCGTCCTTACCGGTGTAACCATACTACTGTGTGGTTACAGTGTATTTACCAAAGTCTCCCTGATCTGAGTCTACCAAGGGTGTGATGTGGCAGCAATTTTCATTAGGCAACTGCCATTTGTCATCAGTTGATATCAACTTGCACATGCAATATATACACTCTCTTCTATAAGCCCTGTGTGTACATCTGAATAGGACTGCCAGCATTCTGACATTTAGCAGTTAGTTAATGCTGATATATGGTGCAAATACTGTTACCTATTATTCTGAGGTCTGCTGAGATTCCAATATCAAATTGTAGCACACAGACTGAAATTTAGCAGTTATTTAATGCTGATATACAGTGCAAATACTCGTAGATGTACTGTTACCTATTATTCTGAGGTCTGTTGAGATTCCAATATCAAATTGCAGCACACAGACTGACATTAAGAATTTCAAATATTGCGTCAGACTGATGTCATACTTGTAAAAGTTAATGTCAAAAAACATTTGTTGAAGTACTGATGTTACAAGACTTCGTTTTTATCTATGATGTTTTCTTTTTTAACTTACACAGACGTTTAATGTAACCTTCAGTACAAGATATATCTTGTTGAGCAGGCCATAATATTTAACCACTATTTGTGTACTTTTACTTATAAATATTGACAGTGTCTGAAGTGTAGTTGAAATACAATCTAAAGCTATGTATCAACAACTCTTTGTTCTGTTACTGTCTTAATATCTATAGTGTTTACTATAACCTCTGACTGTTAAAGGTATTAACCTAGATCTGTATACATACATACCTCTGACTGTTAAAGGTCTAGCTTATACCTAGATCTGTACACATACATACCTCTGACTGTTAAAGGCCTTATACCTAGATCTGTACACACTCATACCTCTGACTGTTAAATGTATTAACCTAGATCTGTATACATACATACCTCCGACTATTAAAAGTCTAGCTTATACCTAGATATGTACACATACATACCTCTGATTGTTAAAGGTATTATACCTAGATCTGTACAAATACATTCCTCTGACTGTTAAAGGTAGTATACCTGGATCTGTACGTTAAAGGTCTAGCTTATACCTAGATCTGTACAAATACATTCCTCTGACTGTTAAAGGTAGTATACCTGGATCTGTACGTTAAAGGTCTAGCTTATACCTAGATATGTACACATACATACCTCTGATTGTTAAAGGTATTATACCTAGATCTGTACACATACATACCTCTGATTGTTAAAGGTATTATACCTAGATCTGTATACATACATTCCTCTGACTGTTAAAGGTATTAACCTATATCTGTATACATACATACCTCCGACTATTAAAAGTCTAGCTTATACCTAGATCTGTACAAATACATTCCTCTGACTGTTAAAGGTCATATACCTAGATCTGTACACACACATACCTCTGACTGTTAAATGTATTAACCTAGATCTGTACACATACACACCTCTGACTGTTAAAGGTCATATACCTAGATCTGTACACACACATACCTCTGACTGTTAAATGTATTAACCTAGATCTGTACAAATACATACCTCTGACTGTTAAATGTATTAACCTAGATCTGTATACATACATTCCTCTGACTGTTAAAGGTCTAGCTTATACCTAGATATGTACACATACATACCTCTGACTGTAAAAGGTCTTATACCTAGATCTGTATACAGACATACCTCTGACTGTAAAAGGTCTTATACCTAGATCTGTATACATACATACCTCTGACTGTTAAAGGTATTATCCCTAGATCTGTACCCATGTTGTCCTTGGTACCTGTTGGCTTGTGTCGGACCAGAATATGATGGTGGGTTATATATTCTGTCGTATATCACCTTCGACTTTTTGTTGCCTAGGACAGCGTAAGCCTCTGCAATCTCATTGAACTTCTTCGCTGAGTTTTGGTAAGAGCTGACATCAGGATGGTACTGTACAAGGAAAGATAACTGAAACTCATACTAATCTAAAAGGATCATACGTTGGTAGTGTACTAGGAAACACTGGCTGACAGTAAAAAGTTTATAAAACATGTATTCCCAATTTCAATCTTTCCAAACAGTTGTTTAAAATAGTGTTGCATCTACAAGATAGACTGTTCTGAGGACTTTTGTACTACACAAACTTGTACTTGTGACATATTGATATATCAGTACGATGTTTACCATCAACAACTCTAACAGAGAACTCCAACTGTATGTGCCACATGCATTATTCCCATAATAACACCCCATGGCACTCAATCATGGAGGTGTTTTTTTAATGTCTCACCCAATCAAGGGGTATAACAGCCAACCTGTTTCTAAGACTCGCATAACATTTTATGGCATTTCTGATGAACTGCAGGAGATGGACGGGCGTATCATCAGATATAGGCTTATATTATTAGATAAGTATGGTAACCAAAGTGTTACACAACTCTACTCTATTCACCGACATATAAACGAATTGTACCATACCTTTTTACATAGCTTTACATAAGCACTCTTTATATCTTCTTCGGTGGCATTCTTTTTTATTCCCAAGATATCATAATGTGTTGATATGGACCTGGAATTCATGAAAGAAAATACTGAACAACACCTATAAATGATTCTGTTAAATACAAATTTGCCAGTAATCATTTTGCCTAATGATCTGATTTATTCACATATCCAGGAATATGTACTACATATTTATTCAAGGACAGATTTTGACCAGCTAATTTTTTCACTGTTCTGCCCTGTATTTATTGGTATACAGTGTATGTATACTTTGTCAGTATGATAATGGGATTCAGAGACTTAACTTGTACAAGGCACAGTAAGTACTCCATTGCATTATCATAAACATCAACAATCATACAATTTAATAGAAGACCAACTGACTATGAAACTCAGAATCAGTATTTTCTTCAATGTTATCTTCTAAGTATAGGCATACATATACTACTGAAAAGGCCAACCTTGATCAAATGTAAATGTACCACTTCAGTTCTCTTGATCTTTCCCTTTTTCTTCCTATGGTATAGGGCTGACACCACTTACATTGTAATGTACCTTTGTACTTTAGGGTGAACATCTAATTACACTGCTGATTAAAAACGAGCCATTCGGATTGATATGTCTCGCCTTTGCCACGCTTTGACCATCAATGCACATATAGAAAAACTAACTTAAACGTAAAAATTTAATGTTGATGGAGATGCTGACAAAGTCAATGGACCATGAAAGCTAGGCTGCATAGATCCGGTTGAGATGTACTAACTAAGATGCATCTATGGTTGAAGTTTGGTTGGTTTAGCACTTATACTTTCAGTGACACTAAGTTAAATACAAAAACTTCTTTTTGACGCTGCCGCCAGAAAATTAACACCTTAGTCTCGCTTCCACTACTTCATCGCGGCAAGACATTTATAATATTTAAAATTGACATAATTTTATTTGTAAAGAGCCCAGTCAGCTGGCACCTCGTTGCAATCTTCTCATTTATTTGAAGACAGCTCCACCTTGGTCAAGTTGTATACATATACATTCTGCATAGTCAGTTGGTCTTCTAGCTATTACATTGTAAAACTGTCGACTGTCGCAAGAATAGCACTACAATGCTAATGTTAATATGTTACATGTATATGCGAAGTTAAATAAAGCTTCTTGATTCTTGCCATCACAAAAGCTGTCCAGTATAGCAACTTTCTACTGATTCTGTATCCATTGTACACTTGTTCCCTTCCTGACACCAATATCATCTATGATCCTGCATGAATCTATAATGAAGGTGTTGAAATATTAAACATGCCTACAAATATTTGTCCTTGATTATATAATGATGTAATTCACATCAACCGAAATCGTATACATGTACCTTTTGAGAAACCAAAGAGGGGTAGCTTGTGGATTCCATCTCGGTCTAGTCAGACCAACAATCGGTGCCAGTATCTTCATGTCTCAAACATGAATGTCAGTCTGCAGGTTTCCATCTGAAGGACTCTGAAAAATGTGGTAATTAATATAAAACATTTTCAATTTTTTATTGACTGGTTTGAAGCTTCACAAACTTCTACGACAATCTCTTTTTTTCTTACTTGTCATGTATCCAAATTTTGGAACTCATTGGTGACATCGACAGGTTGGGCACAACAGCACATATGGGTAGTAATGCATATGCTGCATTTGGGTAACAGTTACCCATTTGAGTAACTCACTATTTTATTACTGAAAAGGGGAATAAAGTGAAATGAAAACATACTAAGTTCTTTGAAATATTATGAACAAAAAGGGTGTCATTCTTTCAACATAATCCAACAAGAGCTGTCGGAGAACAGCATAGCTCGCCTATGTATGTTATTGTAATACTGCAACTATCAATAGAAACACATGTATAGTAAAACGTTGATATAGTGCCTGCCATTTTATTTGCCACCTCACTTACCACCATGATATTTCAAGGACTGTTAAATGTGTAGAAACATCTATGTGAAGTGATTGTTAAGAAATTCACACAGTCAAATTAAGCTGTTTTTGGACGCTAAAATATGAAAATATGGTTCAACACATTGCCTACACTCAATACAAATACTTCAACCTTATAATAGACAACAGCCTATTGATGGTGGTGGTCCAACACTACCCAACAAAACTTGCCCAAAAACTTTAACCTCAAATTTAACTAAGTCCAATTAAGGTGTTTTTGGGCCATAAAATATGAAAATATTGCCCAGAACATTGCTAACACTGCATATAAATGCTTCAACTTTATAATAGACAACAGCGTATTGATGGTGGTTGTCCAACACTTCACAAAAAAACTTGCCAAAAAACATAAACCTCAAATTTAATTAAGCTGTTTTTGGGCCATAAAATATGAAAATATGGTCCACACATTGCTTACACTCAATATAAATGACTTAAACTCATAATAGACAACTGTGTATTGAGTGTGATGATCCAACACTGTCTTGAAAAAACTTGCCCCAAAACTTTAACCTCGGAAGGTGGGACGCTGACGCCGGGGTGACTACATTAGCCCCTCTATTCTACGAAGAGGCGAGCTAATAAAAATGCAATGAGGTACAACAAATTGTGCACAAAAATATCCTTGTGTTATTGGTTTCAGTCCACTTAAGAAGTAGCCACGATTTTGTACTCATATCGGTAGAAATCTGTTGGTTTTATGGATGACAGGTCATAGACATGTGCACAATCTTCTATATGGAAACAAAAATAAATTCTCCACAGTGGCTCTCACTACAAAAGCTTCGCTGGGTATTAAAAAATATGATCTTTGAATGATCAAATTACAAAATGAAAATGACAAATTGTATTACCTCCATTGCTTATAGTGTGTTAAAGAGGCTACTGTGTAAATAGCACAAAGAAAAAATATGTTCACCTGTCACAATTGCGGACTATACACTGAAGTCAATGGAGAACAAAGTAATTAAGTGATGTGGTTTGTCATTTTCATAAAAAGTAAGGCGTCAGAACTAAAGCCCATTTTGCTCCAAGTGTTTAAAAGAATTGCTTGTGTTTTTATTTTACTTTATTTCCCATATCAGTAATAATATTGTTTCTCAAACTGGTAACTTTTGCAAATGCTTGTCAACAACCCGAGGCCATTAATCATCCCAGGAGCCAAACAGGGAGCATACAAGAACTCCTTCTTCATCAAAACACCGCTTGAGTGGAACCAACTGGAATGTTTACAGTAGTGTGCGCAGAAAGCGTAGAGGGATTAAGATCAGCCCTTTCAAAAAAACACCCAAGATAAGTATGTAACCCAAATAGCTTTAACAGTAACTTTTGCAAGATATTATTAAAAATCGCATTAATTTACGACAAGGTTAATAATACTTTGCTAAAAGATGTTTACTGAAAATGTTGGCTACTTAGAAACTTGATGTAACTCTATACTGGAAGTATTGCATCTATTTTTGGTACTTTCCCACATGCAAATAAAGTTTATTTTTGCATTTGTATTATGTTTCATGACTGAATACATGCGACTTGGACAAACAATTTGAAAAAGTTCAGATTAAAGTGATTTTGGCTATTTTTAGTAACAAATCCATACCCATATTGGCGTATAATAGGCGAGTTTGCGTATTATACGCAAGTTAGTGGTTTTCCCCGACCTGTATATATATGAACAGATGAAACTAGACTAATCGGCTAGGCCTAATCACAGGGTCACGTTACAATCACACATATGCTATACTGATAAGGATCACAACACACATAAACATGTTTATGTGTGTTGTAACCCATATCTGTAACGTGACCCTGTGGCTAACAGTTAATCACTTACACAAGTTTTACAAGTTTAGAAAATACGGCAATTACATCTTTTACGCAAACTAAACAAGCTGTCAAATTAATTAACCTCATTTTGTGCAATCAAATATGCTTAATTGCTAATACAAATTAATAAAAGACAAAATTAGCATACCATTTGCTGCCAAAACAACGTTCAGTCATTAAAGGTTATGCTGTGCGTTTTCATCAGAGTCAGCAATACGCTTGTGCATTTGCAATATCACTCTACGTGCTTAACAAACATTATATTAACTGAAATTGACTAACAATGATTTAAGAAAGAATGTACCGATGGTGTAAACTGATATTTGGTGTATATGTATATCAATAAAATCATATTGAAAATCAAAGAAATTTGTGTTATTGCATATGGACTATAATTATAATATTTTACCCAGGAATTAGATTTGCTTAATGATATAAGTTTTAAGTATAAAAGATATTTCCTTTGAAAGGCAAATCAGCGGTGTCTGGTGGGAATCTTTAAATTCCTACCTTAAATTCTTAAAGTAACCGAGTATGTTTTACATAATGGATGCTGATTTCCATGTGTGAATGAACCAATTTGAACGAACAAACTTCCTTAATAAATGTTTGTTGTATAACCCTTTTCCTAACTCACAGAGACGTTTGCCGTTAATGTGAAATTATTTAAAGCGCATGTTTGACGTAGATGTAAACACGGTATAAACATTGGCACAATGACACAGGTCACTCGAACACAGAAGGTGAGTGATTCTTTCACCAAATATATACTTGACACGTTTCGTCCCGAAAAGTGCTAAAATGTATATATGCGTGTAAATTTTCGTATGGCTATACAGGTAGATATCTGTCAAATTCTTCTGATGGTTTGCATTGCTCAGTCTCAAGAGCTATCGACTGTACTCCAGCAGGTCACAGGCATCAAAGTTTGATGACAAGATGTACATATACCTAAAAGAAATATGTTCTTTATAATAGCACAAATACAACACATGAAAACATGGATTTGTTGTTTATTTTTAAGCCACATGCGTCGGTGTATGATGAAAGAATGTACACAATGCTTCATTTCCGTAAGTCACATCTGAAAACGAACGTTAAAGGAAACATATCACTTTTATATTCCGGCTTTGCAGATGCGCCGACCTTTCCGTAGTATGTATACACGAAACAAGAGTTAATCCCCTTAGCACGGTAAACACAATCACATATAATTATTTAACTACGAATTTCCTAAGAAAATGGGAAAATAAGCAAGCTCCTTTTTTTGGAAGGGGGCGTTATATATTTTTGGGGCGAACTAGTTTGGGCGTTTTGTTTTTTTGGGGCGTTATGGATTTTTGGGGCGAACTGGTAGGGGCAATATGAATAAAATTTGGGGAGAAACGTCTGACACCTGTTAAATATATTTTCTAATTTTTTTAAAGCATTATGTTTATATTACACAGGAATCATGGAATTTGAGAGCAGTGGGCCATTTTAGCAATTTTTAGACAAAATCAAAATGTATAGGTCAATTCTATGTAAAATTTAAAGAAAATTGGAACATGGAGGGTTAAATTTCAGTTTTAGGGGGTCAATGGCTCCATGGCCCCCACCCGGATGATCTCAAGGTAAGGGAAAACCACCAAATTGCATATAATACACAAACTCGCCATTTGGAGTATGGATTTGTTACTAAAAATAACCCAAATCGCTTTAACAATAACTTTTGCAATATATTATCAAAAATCGCATTAATTTACGTCAAGGTAAATAATATTTTGCTAAAAGATGTTTAAAACTGAAAGCGTTGGCTACTTAGAAACTTGATGTAACTCTACTGGAAGTATTGCATCTACTTTTGGTACTTTCCCACATACAAATAAAGTTTATTTTTGCATTTTTATGATGTTTCATGACTTAATAAATGCGACTTGGACAAACAATTTGAAAAATAATAAAGTTAAGCTTAAAGTGATATTGCTATTTTAAGTACCAAATCCACCCCAATTGGAAGTTAGTGGTTTTCCCCGACCTCATCTCTTGGATCAGCACAGATGAACTTTCTATCAAATATTAACTACACCTTAAGAGTTTGAGATCACAACATTGAGAAAAACAATATTGTGGAATATATTTCTCTGATTTGGTTAATAAAGTATTGCAAGATGCTGGGACTATGAGAGTGTATAATGGATCTGCTCTCCTGGTGAGGCACTGCTGGTCCTGGCCAAGGCTATATCGGGGATTTCAAACATCAGCGAGGTAATTAATGTAGTGTTACATGTGTTTGTTACAAATACCTTTACCAAATCTATTATTTGCATCCAAATCATCTCATTCAAATTAACCTTTAATTTTTTTAGTACCAGAACTGCCAAAACTAGCTGCTTCTCATCAACCAGCTATTTTTGTACAAGACATAAGCTTAGGTCGACATTAATTAATAAGCAAGCGAAAATTCAACCAGATTATTGAGAATATTCTTTTTAAGTCAACCACCTATTTTTAAGTTTTGTGATATTTACATTGTCTTTGTTTCGGTCAGGATTAAATATCCTTTGCCAGTAGCCTGAGTTTCCTCTGGCCCTCAGACACCAGGCTTAGACACTTTGACAGATACATGTCTAGTGTGGACACCAAACATCTATCTGTCAAACTGTCTCAGTCTAGTGTCAGGGTCAGAGGAAACTATATCAGGCTACCTTTGACAGTTCTGAGTTGAATTGACGTAAGATTGGGCTGATGAATCTCATTGAATAGTAATGTCCTTTTTTTCCAGACACCACAGTTCCACTCATTATGACGTACTGGGAATAAAAACAACGGCCACTCAAAAGGAAGTTAAAAGTGCCTATATACAGTCATCTAAAAAGGTGGGTTCAAGATTATATAGAATATTGTTAAAGTGATTTCCTACTAACTGTTTATCATTGAAATCTAATTAAATTTAGATTTATACATTACTCCTATTTACTGATATCTGAAAGTGTTAGCAAGGTTTGATACTCTTTAAAATATTGCATTATTAAACCTACTGTAATAAAAGTTAAACAAGAATGTTCTCTAAAAACAACAACTTCTTTATCTTTCATTTTATTCACTACTGAATTGATATTTAAAGTACTGAGAATTTGAAAACTAAGGCAATCAAGGAACAACAACAGCATAATTGGCATATTTAGAAAGTGTTGTTTTTATTGAAATTAATTTGAATGTTCTACTGTAACACCCACATACACATATCTCTAACCCAAATACTAGGAATTCTGTCTGTAACACTCACACATACGTGTCTCTAACCCAAATACTAGGTGTTCTAATGTAACACCCACACATACGTGTCTCTAACCCAACTACTAGCAGTTCTAATGTAACACCCACACATACATGTCTCTAACCCAACTACTAGCAGTTCTAATGTAACACCCACACATACATGTCTCTAACCCAAATACTAGGTGTTCTAATGTAACACCCACACATACGTGTCTCTAACCCAAATACTAGGAGTTCTTATGTAACACCCACACATACGTGTCTCTAACCCAAATACTAGGAGTTCTACTGTATCACCCACACATACGTGTCTCTAACCCAAATACTAGGAGATCTAATGAACCACCCACACATACCTGTCTCTAACCCAACTACTAGGAGTTCTAATGTAACACCCACACATACATGTCTCTAACCCAACTACTAGCAGTTCTAATGTAACACCCACACATACATGTCTCTAACCCAACTACTAGCAGTTCTAATGTAACACCCACACATACATGTCTCTAACCCAAATACTAGGAGTTCTAATGTAACACTCACACATACGTGTCACTAACCCAAATACTAGGAATTCTAATGTAACACCCACACATACCTGTCTCTAACCCAAATACTAGGAGTTCTGTCTGTAACACTCACACATACGTGTCTCTAACCCAAATACTAGGAGTTCTAATGTAACACTCACACATACATGTCTCTAACCCAAATACTAGGAGTTCTGTCTGTAACACTCACACATACGTGTCTCTAACCCAAACACTAGGAGTTCTACTGTAACACTAACACATACGTGTCTCTAACCCAAATACTAGGAGATCTAATGTAACACTAACACATATGTGTCTCTAACCCAAATACTAGGAGTTCTGTCTGTAACACTCACACATACGTGTCTCTAACCCAAATACTAGGTGTTCTTATGTAACACCCACACATACGTGTCTCTAACCCAAATACTAGGAGATCTAATGAACCACCCACACATACCTGTCTCTAACCCAACTACTAGGAGTTCTAATGTAACACCCACACATACATGTCTCTAACCCAACTACTAGCAGTTCTAATGTAACACTCACACATACGTGTCTCTTACCCAAATACTAGGAGTTCTAATGTAACACTCACACATACATGTCTCTAACCCAAATACTAGGAGTTCTACTGTAACACTCACACATACGTGTCTCTAACCCAAATACTAGGAGATCTAATGTAACACTAACACATACGTGTCTCTAACCCAAATACTAGGAGTTCTTATGTAACACCCACACATACGTGTCTCTAACCCAAATACTAGGAGTTGTACTGTAACACCCACACATACGTGTCTCTAACCCAACTACTAGGAGTTCTGTCTGTAACACCCACACATACGTGTCTCTAACCCAAATACTAGGAGTTCTACTGTAACACCCACACATACGTGTCTCTAACCCAAATACTAGGAGATCTAATGTAACACTCACACATATGTGTCTCTAACCCAAATACTAGGAGTTCTGTCTGTAACACTAACACATACGTGTCTCTAACCCAAATACTAGGAGTTCTACTGTAACACCCACACATACGTGTCTCTAACCCAACTACTAGGAGTTCTGTCTGTAACACCCACACATACGTGTCTCTAACCCAAACACTAGGAGTTCTACTGTTACACTAACACATACGTGTCTCTAACCCAAATACTAGCAGTTCTACTGTAACACTCACACATACGTGTCACTAACCCAAATACTAGGAGTTCTACTGTAACACCCACACATACATGTCTCTAATCCAAATACTAGGAGTTCTGTCTGTAACACTCACACATACGTGTCTCTAAACCAAATACTAGGAGTTCTACTGTAACACTCACACATACGGGTCTCTAACCCAAATACTAGGAGTTCTACTGTAACACCCGCACATACGTGTCTCTAACCCAAATACTAGGGGTTCTACTGTAACACCCACACATACGTGTCTCTAACCCAAACACTAGGAGTTCTACTGTAACACTCACACATACGTATCTCTAACCCAAATACTAGGAGTTCTACTGTAACACTAACACATACGTGTCTCTAACCCAAACACTAGGAGTTCTACTGTAACACTAACACATACGTGTCTCTAACCCAAACACTAGGAGTTCTACTGTAACACTCACACATACGGGTCTCTAACCCAAATACTAGGAGTTCTAATGTTACACTCAAACATACGTGTCTCTAACCCAAATACTAGGAATTCTAATGTAACACCCACACATACGTGTCTCTAACCCAAATACTAGCAGTTCTACTGTAACACTCACACATACGTGTCTCTTACCCAAATACTAGGAGTTCTACTGTAACACTAACACATACGTGTCTCTAACCCAAATACTAGCAGTTCTACTGTAACACTCACACATACGTGTCACTAACCCAAATACTAGGAGTTCTACTGTAACACCCACATACACATATCTCTAACCCAAATACTAGGAGTTCTAATGTAACACCCACACATACGTGTCTCTAACCCAACTACAAGGAGTTCTGTCTGTAACACCCACACATACGTGTCTCTAACCCAACTACAAGGAGTTCTGTCTGTAACACCCACACATACGTGTCTCTAACCCAACTACAAGGAGTTCTGTCTGTAACACCCACACATACGTGTCTCTAACCCAAACACTAGGAGTTCTACTGTTACACTAACACATACGTGTCTCTAACCCAAATACTAGGGGTTCTACTGTAACACCCACACATACGTGTCTTTAACCCAAATACTAGGAGTTCTAATGTAACACTCACACATACATGTCTCTAACCCAAATACTAGGTGTTCTAATGTAACACCCACACATACGTGTCTCTAACCCAACTACAAGGAGTTCTGTCTGTAACACCCACACATACGTGTCTCTAACCCAAACACTAGGAGTTCTACTGTTACACTAACACATACGTGTCTCTAACCCAAATACTAGGGGTTCTACTGTAACACCCACACATACGTGTCATCAACCCAAATACTAGGAGTTCTACTGTAACACTCACACATACGGGTCTCTAACCCAAATACTAGGAGTTCTACTGTAACACCCACACATACATGTCTCTAATCCAAATACTAGGAGTTCTGTCTGTAACACTCACACATACGTGTCTCTAAACCAAATACTAGGAGTTCTACTGTAACACTAACACATACGTGTCTCTAACCCAAATACTAGCAGTTCTACTGTAACACTCACACATACGTGTCACTAACCCAAATACTAGGAGTTCTACTTGAACACCCACACATACGTGTCTCTAACCCAAATACTAGCAGTTCTACTGTAACACTCACACATACGTGTCTCTTACCCAAATACTAGGAGTTCTACTGTAACACTCACACATACATGTCACTAACCCAAATACTAGGAGTTCTACTGTAACACTAACACATACGTGTCTCTAACCCAAACACTAGGAGTTCTACTGTTACACTAACACATACGTGTCTCTAACCCAAACACTAGGAGTTCTACTGTTACACTAACACATACGTGTCTCTAACCCAAATACTAGGAGATCTAATGTAACACTCACACATATGTGTCTCTAACCCAAATACTAGGAGTTCTGTCTGTAACACTCACACATACGTGTCTCTAACCCAAATACTAGCAGTTCTACTGTAACACTCACACATACGTGTCTCTTACCCAAATACTAGGAGTTCTACTGTAACACCCACTCATACGTGTCTCTAACCCAACTACTAGGAGTTCTGTCTGTAACACCCACACATACGTGTCTCTAACCCAACTACTAGGAGTTCTGTCTGTAACACCCACACATACGTGTCTCTAACCCAACTACAAGGAGTTCTGTCTGTAACACCCACACATACGTGTCTCTAACCCAAACACTAGGAGTTCTACTGTTACACTAACACATACGTGTCTCTAACCCAAACACTAGGAGTTCTACTGTAACACTAACACATACGTGTCTCTAACCCAAATACTAGGGGTTCTACTGTAACACCCACACATACGTGTCATTAACCCAAATACTAGGAGTTCTACTGTAACACTAACACATACGTGTCTCTAACCCAAATACTAGGAATTCTAATGTAACACTCACACATACGTGTCTCTAACCCAAATACTAGGAGTTCTAATGTTACACTCAAACATACGTGTCTCTAACCCAAATACTAGGAGTTCTACTGTAACACTCACACATACGTGTCTCTAACCCAAATACTAGGAGTTCTGTCTGTAACACCCACACATACGTGTCTCTAGGTCTTATTAAAACTCATTTGTTCAGTAACATTTTTTTGCCAAGAAAGGTAATATTGGGTAATACAAAAGATAAAGTAATATAATGCTTAACAATACAGTTTAACAAAAAATATCACTTATAATTGACCTGGTGGTGCATTTGGGAATTTGTATTACATGTATTAAGGGCAGTAATATCCCTAGTCTGGTGGAAATTTGGCAAGGCTTATTTGGGGTAGGTAGATATATAGTATTTAGGGAAGTTTATAGGGGAGGGGGAAGGAACAGCTTGAACCAGTGGTAAAAGGGGTAAATGTTTAAATCTTAACCCCTAAAGAGTGAATGTCAGCCTAAAAATTATTTTGTTATTTACGAAGTACTCTCTGGCCACGGATCTACAGTCCTTCAGTTTTATGTAAATGAAGGGTATGGGTGTGGCCAATGGGATGGAGGAGTGGGGCCTAATAGAGGAAATCAAAATTAAGGTCAACTACTGTCTGCAGCTTCTTTAACAAGTACATGACTGAGTTAAAAGATTTCATTCTAAAACTTACAAAGTATCAGCTATGCAAGCAAGCATTACAAAGTATCAGCTATGCAAGCAAGCATGACAAAGTAATACACATCTCCTTAATGCACTACTTTGTATTTTGTCTCCTCTTTACTTTACTAGTCATGAGACATCTTAATATGAAGTTATAATTTTTTTTTATTAAAGAGTCAGTGATTCAGAAGTCATTGCTTAGACAAGCATTATGTTGATTCTCTCTGTTAACCTTGATCTTTTTGATCATGTATGTATATAACATCAATTATAAGTGATGATAATTCATATCATAATGTATAATTTATTATGTTTATTTGTTTTGCAAATATTGTAGATTTGAAGTGAATTGCCTACTCTGTTTATATCACTGTTTGTCATCTGAATTAGGAGCTTCAGCTTGGTGTCTAAAAGTGCATTACAAAATATAGATGTCAATTGCTATATGCTATATCTATCAATGTGTACTTCAAATTCTTAACAATTTTAAGTAAAGTTATCTCCCCTCTCTCAGTACCACCCAGATGTCTGTAGTGATCCAAATGCACAACGTCAGTTCACCAAGATTGTAGAGGCTTACGAAGTCCTTGGTAGCCCAGAGTCCAGATTATCCTATGACAGCAGTTTTATCTCCACCTCTTACACAACTACAGGAGCACGAGGTCATCATCGGAAATCCACATGGGCAGATTTTCAGATGGAGGAGAATAGACATGATAATAGGTGCTGTATGGCTTCAATTTTGTTTTAGATAAAGTCTTGATCCTTTACCATGATCTCTTTTCTGTCCATGCAATGGTAACTTTTGTTTTCTTCTATATAAATGTATTCATTAGGTTATTACGATAATTAGCTTAAAGGTTGCTGAAGTAAAGGGCTGTTATTTTTTCTCAAACGACTTCTACTCAAGTACTTTGATGCCTGGATTCCTGATGCATGTACCTGTTACATGTACCTGTTACATGCACTTGTCATGTAGTTTGCTAAGGTGTTTCAAACATTTATCCTGCCCAATATTCAAGGTCAAAGCAATAAAATGGGTTAAAATCTTTGAACAAAAATTTCTTGAAATGAACTGTGAGTATTGATATTCTGCCAGTAGCTTGCATCACAGACTTAGATAGCAATCTAATTCCGTGCTTGCATCACAGACTTAGATAGCAATCTAATTCCGTGCTTGCATGCATGAGATGTTATCAAATAATTTTACTTTGAGGTACATTCAAGGTAATGGGATAAGATGTATTAAAAACAACATTATGATAATGAACCATGAGGCCTGTACATAGTGTAATATCTAGCATGTTGCTTTCTTGGATAAAGGGCAATTATGTTAAAACAAATGGCAGTGTCTTGTTTTCTATGTATTCACCCTTTTACTGCGTGTACGTACTCTACTTTGAAAAGAATGAAGTTTTTGCTTTTGTTGGCTCAATATAATACAATCAGACTTGAATAACCAAAAGGCCCAGGATGATGATATTTGGCCAATAACATGCTGGGATGCAGCACTACCAAATTTGTTCAAATGAATGGCCTTGACTAATATTCAAGGTCACAGGGAGTCAAAAACACTTAAAACTTTAAAACAACTTCTTCTGAATAACCAACAGGGTTAGGCATAGGATGATGATTTTTAGTCCGAAGCGTGCTTAGATGAAGGGCTACAAAGTGTGTTCAAATGAATGACCTTGACCTATATTCAAGGTAATAGAGGTCAAATATATTTAAACATCTAAACGGCTGAATAACCAAAAGACCCAGGGTGATGATATTTGGCCAGAAGCATGCTTGGATGAATAATTCATCAGACGAAGGGCTACTAGGTTTGTTCAAATGAATGACCTTATATTCAAGGTCACAGGGGTCAAATATGTTAAAAACATTTCAATGACTTGAAATAACCAAGAAGCCTAGAGTGTTGATATTTGGCCTGTAATATGCTTGAATGAAGGCAACAAAGTTTGTTCAAATAAATGACCTTCACCCATATTCAAGGTCACAGGGGTCAAATATGTTAAAATCTTTGAACAACTTCTTCTGAATACTAAAAGGCCTAGGGTGATGATATTTGGCAAGAAGCATGCTGGAATGAAGCACTTCAAAGTTTTTCACATATTCAAAACATTTAAATGACTTCTTGCAAATAACCAAAATGCATGGGCTGCCGATATGTGACCAATAGCATACTCAGATGTAAATGACCTTGACACTTTTCCAAGGTCACATATGGTCATTTTCAATTTTTGTGTATGTTATTTTGTATTTGAAATCCTTCACTCTGTGATTCCAAAATGGTCCATGCCATCCATGTGTTTATGACATGAAAAATAATTAATCTTATTGTAAAATGTCATATAATAAAGCAATTGTGGACTTCAGTTTCGGTCTATCCCTGATTTACGGACCTCGACTGATCAATATTCATCTCGGCCTTCGGCCTCTGTGAATATTGTTCAGACCAGGTCCGTAAATCAGGGATAGACCTCACGTGAAGTTCATAATTGTATATGGTATGATGCTTCAAAGATGAAAATCGGAATTTATACTCAAGAAGGGGCTCACGCCAAGAGGGAGGCTCACAGGTCACTTACCTCAAAACCTGAATCAATCATATTTTTTACTTCCTTCAGAAACTAGCTGCAAGATTTTTGATGAATCTTGGTTCAGGTTGTAAGACTCCAGCCAGTAATTTATACTCGAGATAGAGCAACTGTTACTGGCGTTTGAACAATACTACCCCCTTTATACTGATTCAGAGTACCATGAACAATACTACCCCCTTTATACTGATCCAGAGTACCATGAACAATACTACCCCCTTTATACTGATCCAGAGTACCATGAACAATACTACCCCCTTTATACTGATCCAGAGTACCATGAACAATACTACCCCCTTTATACTGATCCAGAGTACCATGAACAATACTACCCCCTTTATACTGATCCAGAGTACCATGAACAATACTACCCCCTTTATACTGATCCAGAGTACCATGAACAATACTACCCCCTTTATACTGATCCAGAGTACCATGAACAATACTACCCCCTTTATACTGATCCAGAGTACCATGAACAATACTACCCCCTTTATACTGATCCAGAGTACCATGAACAATACTACCCCCTTTATACTGATCCAGAGTACCATGAACAATACTACCCCCTTTATACTGATCCAGAGTACCATGAACAATACTACCCCCTTTATACTGATCCAGAGTACCATGAACAATACTACCCCCTTTATACTGATCCAGAGTACCATGAACAATACTACCCCCTTTATACTGATCCAGAGTACCATGAACAATACTACCCCCTTTATACTGATCCAGAGTACCATGAACAATACTACCCCCTTTATACTGATCCAGAGTACCATGAACAATACTACCCCCTTTATACTGATCCAGAGTACCATGAACAATACTACCCCCTTTATACTGATCCAGAGTACCATGAACAATACTACCCCCTTTATACTGATCCAGAGTACCATGAACAATACTACCCCCTTTATACTGATCCAGAGTACCATGAACAATACTACCCCCTTTATACTGATCCAGAGTACCATGAACAATACTACCCCCTTTATACTGATCCAGAGTACCATGAACAATACTACCCCCTTTATACTGATCCAGAGTACCATGAACAATACTACCCCCTTTATACTGATCCAGAGTACCATGAACAATACTACCCCCTTTATACTGATCCAGAGTACCATGAACAATACTACCCCCTTTATACTGATCCAGAGTACCATGAACAATACTACCCCCTTTATACTGATCCAGAGTACCATGAACAATACTACCCCCTTTATACTGATCCAGAGTACCATGAACAATACTACCCCCTTTATACTGATCCAGAGTACCATGAACAATACTACCCCCTTTATACTGATCCAGAGTACCATGAACAATACTACCCCCTTTATACTGATCCAGAGTACCATGAACAATACTACCCCCTTTATACTGATCCAGAGTACCATGAACAATACTACCCCCTTTATACTGATCCAGAGTACCATGAACAATACTACCCCCTTTATACTGATCCAGAGTACCATGAACAATACTACCCCCTTTATACTGATCCAGAGTACCATGAACAATACTACCCCCTTTATACTGATCCAGAGTACCATGAACAATACTACCCCCTTTATACTGATCCAGAGTACCATGAACAATACTACCCCCTTTATACTGATCCAGAGTACCATGAACAATACTACCCCCTTTATACTGATCCAGAGTACCATGAACAATACTACCCCCTTTATACTGATCCAGAGTACCATGAACAATACTACCCCCTTTATACTGATCCAGAGTACCATGAACAATACTACCCCCTTTATACTGATCCAGAGTACCATGAACAATACTACCCCCTTTATACTGATCCAGAGTACCATGAACAATACTACCCCCTTTATACTGATCCAGAGTACCATGAACAATACTACCCCCTTTATACTGATCCAGAGTACCATGAACAATACTACCCCCTTTATACTGATCCAGAGTACCATGAACAATACTACCCCCTTTATACTGATCCAGAGTACCATGAACAATACTACCCCCTTTATACTGATCCAGAGTACCATGAACAATACTACCCCCTTTATACTGATCCAGAGTACCATGAACAATACTACCCCCTTTATACTGATCCAGAGTACCATGAACAATACTACCCCCTTTATACTGATCCAGAGTACCATGAACAATACTACCCCCTTTATACTGATCCAGAGTACCATGAACAATACTACCCCCTTTATACTGATCCAGAGTACCATGAACAATACTACCCCCTTTATACTGATCCAGAGTACCATGAACAATACTACCCCCTTTATACTGATCCAGAGTACCATGAACAATACTACCCCCTTTATACTGATCCAGAGTACCATGAACAATACTACCCCCTTTATACTGATCCAGAGTACCATGAACAATACTACCCCCTTTATACTGATTCAGAGTACCATGAACAATACTACCCCCTTTATACTGATTCAGAGTACCATGAACAATACTACCCCCTTTATACTGATCCAGAGTACCATGAACAATACTACCCCCTTTATACTGATTCAGAGTACCATGAACAATACTACCCCCTTTATACTGATTCAGAGTACCATGAACAATACTACCCCCTTTATACTGATTCAGAGTACCATGAACAATACTACCCCCTTTATACTGATTCAGAGTACCATAAAATGCCATTGGAGCCTTTAAGGAAAAGGTCCAACTTTGATTGAAGGTTTTGAAATGCTGTAAGTGGTAACTTTTTTTGTTTTTTTAGCCACCCCTGGTTTAGAGAGACATACAAAAAATAAAATAAGACAATTGAAAGGTCTCATTCAGTTGCCGGTATGATCAGCTAAAACAATACAAAATATAAAACTTAATTTAATATTTAATATATTGCACATATTATCCTCTCGTAATGAAAGTTTGAGGGAATATAGGATTCGGCCTGTTACACCCTTTGTCATCGCCGAAGCGACTTCATTTCTCAATGGAATTTCATACACATGTTTTGTATGGCAGTGCCTTGCACAAATATGCATTTTAAGTTTCTACATTGAAGGTCAAGATCACTATTATTATTTTTAGAAAATTGTTGGCATTGCTCTAGCAACTTCATTCCTCAATGGAATTTCATGAAACTTCATACAAGTGTTTGGTATGGCAATGCTTTGAACCAATACATGTTTCAGGTTTTCTTTGTTTAAGGTCAAGGTCACTGTTACTATTTTTAGAAAAAGAATTGTCATCGCTCTGCTGACTTCCTTCCTCAACAGAATTTCATGAGACTTGATACAATGGTTTGCCATGACAATACCTTCAACAGATGCAGTCGCTAGAGCAGTTACTGTTACATCATTGAATTTTCTATTCATTTCCTCATGTATGACACACAATGTGTGAATGCGAGGTGATTTGTATCACTTGTGATGCCTTGTTTACTGAGTAAATTGTCAATCTTTGTGATTTAAATTTCAGAAGCGGTGTAAGAAAAAAAGATCTTTTTGACGTGCGTAAAGGGATAAAAATGAAGAAATTACATGAAGAAGAAGAATTTGATTTTGCCATACGATCTTATATGTCAATAATGGATATTATTGTCTTCATCATGCTGATGGTTTTTATCACAAATGCCTATCGTAAACGTCGTGAAAAGCGGTAAGTTGGAAATGCCACTAGACTTGATCTATATAGATTCAATAGAATTTATAATCATGGTCACAAAACTCTCAAAGCATAAATGTGCAGACATCTGTATCTCAAATGATCTAACAAATCCATTCACAAGAAAAATTGTCAATTTGCACAATAAATGTCTTTGGCATAAAAGCTGCTATGCTAGCTGCTTTAACTTATTCCAGAGATGGAACCTGGTGGCATGATGGTTTGTGTTGCATATACAACTGTACTATTTATAACTGTGTGTAAAGACAAGTGAAGTCTGATGACGGTTACACAACTGTACTAATTATTAGGGTTGTCCATTGGGTCAAGTTTTAGTAACCAGATACTTGAACAAAAGACTCTAGACGGATCTCCAGGTGCCCAACATCAAAGGATCTTTATTAGATTTACCAAAAGGGATCTTTTACCTTCTTTGCTCTTTATTTTCTGTACAGGCACTTTTAACCAGACCAATTTTGGAGGTTCTAAACACATTTACTTAAACCTATGGCAAATGCTTTTGTATGAAAATGGCTTAATTATATGCAAAATGCTGGAATTTGTTATTCTTACATATTAGAAGTTCTTTCAATGACAGTTGGATTCTCGTTAGACTCTGGGGTATTTTTAATAAGAGGAGCATGCATATCGATTTTTAGAAAGATACCTCCAGTACTTTGTGACAAATAGCAAAAACATACCTTAACTGTCAAAATCCAAGATGGCTGCCTGCTGCATGGCCATCTTGGTTTTCGTTCAGTCCCAAATTTTGGTATGTGTAACTAGGGACCAAGGGAAACCTACAGATTTAGTTTGAGGAAGATCTCTCAAGTACTTTCTGAGAAATAGAGATAATAAAACTCACTGTTAACAATGCTGTTGATTATTGTGTAGTGGAACTGAACTAGCTAGGTCAATAATCGGCAGGGGCGTAAGCTTAATTAGTAGAGCACCTGTCTAGAGTTTGGAGGGTCCCTGGTTCAAATTCTTGTCTGAATTTATTTTAATAACTTCTGAATGTTGACAACTTTGAAATTTTTTGACAACATATACACAATTTTGTAAACAATGCACTGTCTCTGGGAAGACATGGGGATTTTAATGTTGTCAATTTTGGGGCTTTAAGGTATCAACTAATCCCATTGTCTGTTCAATTTTCACTCTCTAATCAGTTAATGTGTCATAATAAGCCATATACCATATATTCAATACTATAAGTATCTGTCACAAATTGATGGTTGAGACATATACTATAGTAGAAAAATGTCAATTTCAAATATTGGAAAAACTGTAGTCCATTTGAAAGTTAGCAGAAATTTGACCTTAAATTAATGCAGTAAATATCTGTACTATTGAGATTCTAGACAGAACCTAGTTTCTCTGTATTCATAAAATATAATAAGTTATCTGAATTAGTACAATTTGAATGTATTTGTAAACAGACCGAATCAAATGTACAATTTATAATTGGTTACCTACTGTATCTTAGACGTACATTGACATGTAAGACGACCTTGACATTTAAGATGACCTTGACATGATAGACATACCTTGACATGTAAGACGTACCTTGACATGTAAGACGACCTTGACATGTAAGACGGACCTTGACATGTAAGAAGTACTTTATAAGACGTACCTTGACATGTAAGACGGACCTTGACATGTAAGACGACCTTGACATGTAAGACGAACTTGACATGTAAGACCACCTTGACCTGTAAGACGACCTTGCCATGTAAGACGGCCTTGACATGTAAGAGTTACCTTGACATGTAAGAAGACCTTGACATGTAATACGGACCTTGACATGTAATACGGACCTTGACATGTAAGACATACCTTGACATGTAAGATGTACCTTGACATGTAAGACGTACCTTGACATGAACTTTTGTTATATGTATTGCTGATTATGCCTTGGAATGGAAATTTAAAAAAAGTTTGAATGAAATAAAACTTCAGAATTGGGCCAGTAAATCATGAAATAAGTTCATTGGGCATACATAATGTGATTTTACTTTGACAATGTGAAGTATTCTTAGTACCGGTCAAAACTATCACTGGGTGGTGTCCCCAACTATCACTGGTTGGTGTCCCCAACTATCACTGGGTGGTGTCCCCAACTATCACTGTCTGGTGTCACCAACTATCACTGGTTGGTGTCCCCAACTATCACTATCTGGTGTCACCAACTATCACAGGGTGGTGTCCCCAACTATCACTGGGTGATGTCCCCAACTATCACTGTCTGGTGTCACCAACTATCACTGG